CCCCCCCCCCACTATCACCAAATGGGTTTTTCCATATAAGCCTGTCGGCTCATTACCTAAACATATAAAGAGCCTCGTGGCTGTGCTTGTGAACTGGCAGTATTTAAATGAAACTAATTTGAATCTCGATGGCTTAATCAGTTATTAGATGATGACACTTTGAACCCAACAAACTGCTCTCACTGTTGATGGTCTCTTAGGTTTTACATTAGCTCAAGTCACCCTGAAATGCGAACACGGAAAAGATGAGAAGTTCTTTTGTGTTTCATAAAATTTATTTAATGCTCCACAATCTTTGCAGCACGAATCCAAACTGGTATAAAAGCTTTTCTTTGCATTTTCAAAAAGACTGCATTCATGGGAAAATGTGACATTATTAAGTTAGGATAATGAGTAAATTGTCCCTTAAATGATACGTGATGAGCTGCAGTAAATCCAGCCTGGTGCTTAAGCAGCTCAGACAAAGTTAGAAGGAGGGATTTGGTTTTAGCGTCTTATTTTCATTTATTTGGTGCTTTGAATTGTTAAGAAACAGCTTCAAAATCAAAAAGTTAGAAAATGGACCGAGGCAGGATGACAGAAGAGTGGGAAAGGAAAAAGAAATGATTGGCTCTGATAAGAAATGATAAAAGCGTACACGTGCAGACACGGAGCACTTTTCTCTCTTTTTTAAACACATGTGCTCTTTTCCATCTGTGGATCACAAACATGAAGCTGGCGTCAAAGATGAAAACCATCAAGCTCCGTATGCTGACATTAACTTGGGGTTAAATGCAGGGCGGCCGTCATTTCACCGCACCGATCGCTGAGCTGAGGGTCACCGTGCAAACAGCGCAACACTCTGCTTCTAAAAATACGTCCACACTGTTCACGGCGCCCAGAGGTTACACGCAGCACTGCATGTAACATTAACTATTCATTTAGATGTGAACTGCACATACTGCCATTTATTCACAACGTCACAATGCACTGCACATTTTTAAAATTTGTCTTTTGTAACCGACTCATTGTTTATGAGCTCATAAGCATGTTTTGTCATTTGTGCAGCTTTAGTCTGTGTCCACACAGAGCAGAGTGGGTCCACACAGTGCAGAGTGGGTCCACACAGTGCAGAGTGGGTCCACACAGTGCAGAGTGGGTCCACACAGTGCAGAGTGGGTCCAC